AAAGTATGGTTACTAGCCCAGATCAGTGGTACAGGTTAGTATCTTGACCTGCACCACTGTTCTGGGCTATTAACCATACTTTTTATATAAAAATTATTACAATCTCACCGTGAAAAAGATTCAAAAGCCATGGTCATTTGGAGCACTAGCCCTTGGTCTCTAATGAAAGCAGGCATGTACAAATGCAGACCATGTAGACTGCAGACCATGCAGACTGAGGATTTTTTAAAATTTATAATTATATCATTTTCATCTATTTATTTCTTCTTATCATTACTTTTTCACCTAATTTTTCTCTCTTGACATTAAATAGTCAGTCTTATTACCTTTAAGCTGGTTTCCCACATTTTAACATGACCGGATGAAGTGACTTGATTAACTCAGTTGAAAACACCAGCAAAATGGATAATTTTAGAGCTTTTTACAATATTTGCTTTATTTGAATTTTGTAGAGAAAATGAGGCTCCCAACCATACCATATCAACTACACTACTGAAAGAGGTGCAAGAAATTGAACAAATTAAAAATGATTCAACATGTACCGAGAGACGAGTTCTTGGTAAGTTAATATGGTTGTAAAGTGAAATGCTTTGTACATGTATAATATACATTTACCATTAATGATAATACCGATCACATACTTCATTTGAACAATCCCCTGCCCCTTTTTTTCTTATTTCTCTTAGTTAAACCCTAAATTCCCTTAAATTTATTTTAGGGATAAACTATGGGGATTGTTTGTCAAGATTTTTTCTTTATTGAGCAGAAATGGCCCTACGAGCTGCAAATAACAGTCCTTAACAGTCATGGACAATGTGCAAGCATATAAGATACTTAGTGATAAACCAGGAATATCTTAATAATGGAGATGAAACTTTAAGACAGTGTACTAAGTCAAGGCATAAAAAATGCAGTGAAACCTGTAAAAAGTGCAGGATCCCAAATTTAAAAACAGACACCCATCTCTATTAGATGGACACAAGCATCATTGAGCTCCACCTATTCTCCCCTTATACAGGTTTTACTGTATCATACATGCAGGGAACAAAGAAATATGATTTTGTTGAAATATCCTCACTAGCTAGTCTAGTGATGTGTACGGGGGAGAAAATAAGATAGCAAAGGAACACTTAATGATATTTTTGCCAGTTTAAATGGGTGACATGGTAGGTAATAATTCTATCAGGAAAAGCAATTATCTTAGACTTGAGAAAACTCCTGTACAAAAGGTTCGAAAAATTGAACTTATGGTAATGCTCATAATAAATTATTATGCAGATTAATTGTCCTTTTTTTGTTAGATGCCATTTCACAAAACTTGGCCTCGAGCAAGAAGCGAAAAAGACAGGAGGAGAAGGGGACATATGAGCAGTACCAACAGGAGCAGAAAAGAAGGCAAAGAATTAAGAGGGTGAGGTTCTCTGTCATGTTATTAAAAACTTTTGAATCAAAATTTTGAGTATTCAGATGGTAATTGTTTTAATTGACCAAGAAGGTATACTGTACATCCTTCGCTGTTAGGACTGGAATAGAGGGGAGTAAAGTTTGTAATATTATACGGCTTCTATTTGCAAGTGTGTGATGTGTGTTTCTTTCTATGTAATTCATTTTCCAAAAGATTAACTGATTGTTACCCTACTACAGGGTTGTCACTAACATTTCAAGTTGCTGGGTAAATACAACAAGTAGGTGGGGAATCAAACGGCTAGGGATTTCTTTTGGTTCTATTTTTCTACTATTTTCCAAAAAAATAAAAGTAGCCGGGGGCCACTCTCTTAATTAGTAGCCAGGGAAAATCCCCGGCCCCCGGCTCTTAATGACAACCCTGCTAGTAGTCATAAGCTGTTTCAGAGTCCTAACCGAACGCAACTACATAAGTTTAAGAGCAACAACTAACATCATTATCTCTCGCTCAGTGTTAATTTTTTACAACGGTGTTGGGGTTCAGATAATCAGTATAAAAGTAGCTTTTGAGTTGCCATGTGATGTTTTATGCAAAAAATTAGCTGAATTACTGAGTTTTTTTTTTCTTTCTCTCTCTCTCTCTCTCTCTCTCTCTTGTATGTAGAAGCTTGATAAAAGATTGAAAGCCGTCACTGAGGAGGAAAGGGATGGTGACCTGTTTTCAGCCCTTCATGTAAGCCTTGTGTCTTCAGAGGAGTCTGACACGGAAGATAATTCCTTGAGAACCAGGCCTCTGTCTTGGAGAACAGAGAATGTCAACAACTTTTTTAAACTTTTGGATGGAAGAGCAAAGGCAGCAATGACCTCCCAACAAAGGAGACAATCAGTTAGTCGAAGACAAGGTGTTGCCAGTGGAAGAGGGACAGACACTGTCCCAGAACATTTGAAATGGGCTGTGTGCGATTCCCCATAAGTCAGTAAATAAGTAAATAGGGAGCGTTTCTCAAAAAGTTGGAGCAGCCTTTAAAGATTAAGTTGAAGTGACTATATAAAGCAGACTGAAGAGTAAAATGTAACAGCTCAGTCTTATTGATGTAGGCATAACTTATTTCAAAAAGAAATATGATTTTTTAATTATTGTTATATTACTCAATCTGCAATCTTTGATTTCCTTAAGCAAATTTGTTTCCAAAAAATGAATTGTGAACAGCTTCTATTCTTTAAATATAAATAATTTTTTGCATCTTAGGAATTAACCGCATAATGTTTGTTACCCAGTATTCAGTTTGATGTCAAAATTGATGTGCATCAGAACCATGAGTTCAAATCACAAACATCTTGTTTCTGTATAGTTACAGTTGTAAACACATAGCTTTAAAAGGTTCTTTAATACACTTTATTGTCACTTCATTATAAGGTATTAATGCAGGAACTAGATTTTGTTGGACTTTAGACTGTTTTTTTTTTGTTTTTGCACTTCGCATAGAGTTCAGCCTGAGAGTTATCAATGTAGAATGCTAGCCATGTTTTTCTTTAGTGTAAGCTAGGTTATAATTTTGAAGACCACATCTTCTGACAATTTCATTTATAGAATTAGACTGCGAGCACTGTAACGCTAAGGGTATGATATGTATGCAATGCCATGTAAATAAATGTTCAGAATTTACAGTTCATATATTGGTTCTTTTCATCTGTGCACTCTTTATAAGTAAGTGGGAAGGAAACATTTTACTCCCTTGAGTTTTACACGCATTTACAAACAGTAATAACCAGAGGACCTCAATTGCGGGGTGGGAATTACGGAAAAGCTATGACATACAAGAGATTTTCCCTGTCCGAATTAAATTAATACTGAATGTTACAACACCATTGAAAACACGGCAGGAAAAAGCAAATTGTGAAAACAAAAGCAATTTCCAAAGGAGATATAACGGGAAACGCGGGAAAATTTTGCGTTTTCCTAACTTCACACGAATTTTCTGTACTTGAGAACGCCAGAAAACTAGTAGAAAACGACCGCTAACGCTGGAATACAATCCGTTTTCCATGCCTGAACTTATCAGTGAATGCTGGAAAACGCGAGTTTTCTTGAATTTACTTGAATTCACTGTCACGGAAAATGAAAGAAAACGCAAGAAAACTGCTTGCAAAAGTCGGAATAACGCGCAGTTTTCCTAACGGTAAGCGATCGGTAAACGCTGGAATACATGCGATTTTCCTGGATTCAGCGGTATTCACCGTTTCGGAAAACGCCGGAAAACGTCCGCAAAAGGCAGGATTTCACTCGTTAACTGCGGTGAACTCGAGGTTTTCCCGTCTGAAAACTCAGGGTAAATGCCGGAATACAAGACGTTCACCGAGTGTTAACCGATCGGTGAACGTCAGCAAACGCATGTTTACCGGCGTTCACTGAATCGGAAAACTGATGGATAATGGAACGAATACTCGAATTAACCGGAGTGAAAACGTTTGGAAAACGAAGGATTTTCCGCTTGGTGAATCTCAGAGAATGCGGGTAAATTGCGCATTCTTCGTTAATTCACCGCGCGTTTTCTCAGTGGGAAAATGCCACTTTTTTTGCCGTGAGTGTCTCTGTAGTGGAGATGCTCATTTACCGGTAGCCATTTGATCTCGCGTAACGCAGGTGTTATGGGCTCTGAGTCAATAGCCCATAAGGCCGAAGGCTGAATGGGCTATTTACTCGGAGGCCATGAGTCCGAGGGGAATAATTGTTTTAGTAAAATCCAACTAGTTGGTCAAAAAAGTGGAGACAAAACAACTTTAGCTAGTTAAAGCTAGACTTTTAATCCTTTTTGCCGCCAAAAAGCCTGCGCTTTTCGCTGCTGTACTAGTGGGTATAACATATAGCCTAGTAGGAGCTAGACCAATCAGAACGCAGCATTGATAATAGACCACTAGTTGGATTTAACTAAAAGAGGTTACACGTGTTTCATTCCATCACTCTACTCGAGGCCGCAAAAGCGAAGTGGCCTGCGATCCACCCTACCACCCCTCGAGTAAGTAGGGGGTTGATCGTCTGCTTCCCAGGCCAAAGTGATTCCCCATACCTAATTATCTTGTCATGAATAATAATAGCGGAGCTGCGGCGCGCGAAGCGCGCCAGCGGAGCACCATGGGTAAAAAAATTTGGTAAACCATCCATCCGAGAAAATTTGGTTATGACGTAGCGTACCCCCGTACACTCTTTGCGGGGGAGGGAAGGGAATCAGATGTCAGCCCGTCCGGGGAATCGAAGGAGTATGTTATAAATCGCGCGATGCATTTGGGCAACCCTTTTTCTTGGAGGGAAATCGCGCAAGAAATGGCGTGGCTGTCGTCGCGATCAAAAACATGTTTACTTCAACTACTTCATTGCATAAGGATTTTGTGACCATAGTGTTCAGTTTCTAGTAAACTGTTTCGAAAAAATTGTTATGGCAAAAAGCAATAGCGGATTGAATTCAAACTATTTGCTTGTGAGTGAAGAGCGACGGGAAAGAGAAAGAAGAGAAAGGCATAGAGTAAGAATTAAATCTATTTTATTCCCTTAATTCACGAAGTTCTGGTGCAGTTACAAGGTGACATTCGACTGATTTTTAGATCAAATAGGCGCCAAAGTAGGTATTCACGGTGTCCATGTAAAGTCTCAAGTTGTTCCCAGCCGAAGTCATCGTAATGACGTCACCAGCTTTCAGGTTGAAAATCCCGCCTACGTACGCGTTACCTTCGCCGCTCCTCTCAGGGATCTGAATCATGGTTATCGCTCTGCCGTTTACCCTCATAAGAATCCTTCCAGTGGTATGGTAGTAGGCCTGCAGGTAAATATAGTATCGCCCTTGGATAGGCACAGTCAGTTTTCCATCATGGTACTTCATACAACCTGCAAGATGGCTGAACGGGGCACTGACAGACCAGTCTTTGATCACTAGAAGATGAATTAAAAGTGATGCAATAATTCCGGGTGATTTTCACTGAGGCACATTTCCCTTTTCAGGGAGGGGGGGTATTTATCAAGGCTTCAGCTCTCTTGATTGAGATAACTAAGAGATAAGATAAAGTAACATACTTTAAAAAGAAATAGACGACGAATTGCTAGTTTTGTTAGTAGTAGCTTTCTAGTAGTCCTTAAAGTAAAGTTAATGTTTCTACGATGTGTCTTTTTCCATGTAGCAATGTGGTTTTACTGCTTCGTTTTATCTATAAGATCCGTTATACAAGAGTAACCTAAATCTGATTATATGGCATTAATTGTAATTCGGTCGATTTTATTTTTGAACTTTGGCAGACTCGACATGATAGTATGTTGAACAAAGGTGGCAGGGAGGACTAATGGGAAGCATAAAATAAAATACTTTGTTTGGCGTGATAGACCACTACGTATTTCCTGGCAGCTTCAATGTGAGCAGACGGCTTGTTTATAATCTGTAATCAAAGAATTGCACATAACAGTGTTAGTGGCGAGTGTATCCTTTCGTCGAGGAACGAGGGTTCTAATTTGTTCCAAATAAGGGTGACAATATTCTCCAAGTTTGTTTGCATTTTTTGAAGCAAAATTATAAAAGGTAAAACAAAATTATAGATTTAGAAAATATATGAATAAAAAATTAAAGGGCCAACCATTATTCATAGGGGGAAATTTGAGGCGTGGGGTGGTTGAGGGTGTTTCCGTTGTATATTTCTAGAGAACAAGGGTGGATCATGAATAGAATTCCGGTCCCTAAGTTGGGGGTTAAGTATTATTGAAAGAACCTAATTGTATGCAGTGATTAACAAATGTTATTGAATCCAAAATTTTTACCTATATAAGCCTTAGTAAAGGCAACGGGATATTACATGCAGACGTGACGCCATTTTGCTGATGATAGTTTCGTACTTTACGACACCACCAATTTAAACAACCTGCCAGCGGCTTTAGTAACACTTTACGTTTTCATCAGTCTTAAAAAAAACTACTACAAACAGAAGGGTTTAGCTCATAAGTTTTCACAAGTACATACTTAACATTTTTCTAGAATTTTTTAGAGTTTGCAAAGGTTGATAAAAACGGCGCAGAAGGCAATTTGATATGTTGTTTATTGTCTTTATTGGTTGTTTCTGGTGAGCGTCGTTTGGGTAAGATAAGGTTAGGTGTCATTAAACCTAAAATAATCACTATGGATTCGGTTTTTGCATTTGAAAGCGAGGTTAGTTATCAGAGCTTCGGTTTGTGTTAATCGTCTGAGCGCTTGGACAAATAATTATCCAAACTTTGAGCGTTGATTATTCTCAGTATCAAGCGCAGGAAAGTCCAAATCCAATTACTGTCTTTCTTTTTTTCTTTTTTTTTTTTCATGATCATTACTGTCGTTAATCATCACTTATCGTCACAATTAAATACGTAATTAACAATATAGCGTTTCTTTTCAAAACTCATTAATTCTTAGTCTGATAATTAATTTATAGGTCATCATAGTGCACTATTTATGTTCGAATTCAAAGCAATTCTTTCCTTCTACCACTCGAAGTTGAAGCTACTGACCTACTATGGGCTTGAACTGCATGGAGGAAATGAAAGGGGGAGGGGTAGTATTATACATCGACATTTTCCTAAGCTTGATGAGAGCTATAATTAGGATGGCTTACGTCCAGAGGGGATGATACGCTCTCCGAATTGAATAAGCCGTTATTGATGAGGTTTTTTGTTATATCCGGAAAAATCAAGGTCGAGGTAAGTATTATCAGCAGAGCCAATGGCCGAAGTCGATAACACTTTCTAAGATCTTGATTATCTAGGATATTACAAAAACCGAATCTAGTCATTGCTTTTATTATCCATTGTTTTGAACAAAATAACGACAAACACACCATCGCACTAGGAACCGAATTGTTCAGTTTCTCTTAAAAATCATGCATTGTGCCCGCACAGTCTTCATTTTACCCCTGGTCCGCAGTCAACCTATAGACCCGCACATTAGTCAATTATCTATAACTGATTTCTACAAGTAACCGTAGGCTCTTAGCCAACGCGAAAACAGATAGTGAGTACAATGTATAATAACTACTTTACGTTTCTTTTGCGGTATGACAATGTTACGTTGTTACGTTGGTAGTGCTTTTCTTACCAGGTCCCCCCCAACCTGATGATCGCGGTTGCGCTTTGCAAACATACATGGTGGTACAAACCAAAACAATAAAGAAAACAGCAAATTTCATCTTCGTGCACCTCTCAACTCAATCCTGTGAAATACAAGCATGGGTAGAAACATGAATTTTAACATTTTGCACCTGTGGCCCCATAGCATCTGTAGCATCTTGACCGGTAAAGAAGGGAAAGTCCTGTTTGTTTATCCTGATTGTGAAAACAAATTTAGCTGAACGGTTTGGATAAAATCATTAATACAAAGAGTAAAAGCTTCAAACCATATATAAGTAGAAAGGAAAAGAGTGAATGATCATGATTTAAACCTTAATTAGTAGGTAGCAAAGTGTCTGCCTCATGAATACTATAAATGTCGATCCTCCATGGATACAGTGTGCGACAACTCTTGTAAGCGACCACTTATCCAAAACACCAACATTTTCCCAGTCAAATAACTTCAGTTAGAACCTCTCGTAAACGACTGCCTCTCGGAAGCGACCGCTGGCGGCAATTTTTTGAATGACGGTTTTAGAATTTTCCATTGGTTTTATCCTCCTGTATGTGGCCGCTCAAGGCATGGTTGATCTCTACACTGCTGAGAAATCTAGAATGCGACCTACTTTTAGTGACAAGATGAAGCTACACATATCGTAAATTTTAAGAAATTGCATGCAATGAATTCTATTCCAAAACGTAGATGTCGTAGGATCTCTTCTAGGAAAAGACCCCCTATTTAATTGTAGAGTGTGCTGCCTTTTTTTTTGGTTTTTTCTTTTCTTCTTTCCTTTAGTTTTGCATTGGTGTTCATGCTTTCTTGAGGGCGATTTGTAGACTTTTAAAGCTGGTTAAAGTAAATATTTAACTCGCTGTCGTCATATCTTTACTGGGTGGGTTATTTAAAGGAATTCTAACTTAGGCCGCGGATTAAGAATCATTAGACCTCCAGACCTCTTTCTTAGTGGGTTAATTTATTGAAATTGTTCACGATAAATGGTGTTTAGATAAAAGCGTTGGGAAAAATGAAAATGGCTTAGAACGCGGTTTTGTTAAACGCGGGCTAATCTCCGTTTAAATAACTGGCCATCTAGTATTGCGAAGGACTAAGTCGATGTTATGGCTAACTTTCAAAACTTGAAATGAGGGCGGAGAATTTCTTGCATAGAATTGATAACAATGCTTGGAATCTTTTTGGACGGGAAAATATCAATAATTCCTCTCCTCTGCGGGTGGGAAAGTAATGTAATTAGTTATTTTCCAATTTTCAATAAAATTTGTTGTTGTTGTTATTGCTACAGAAAAAAAGATGGTTTCGACCAAATGGGCCTGGCAGTACTCTGTAACTGATAATCGTTGGTATTGGAGTCTGCCATGAAAAGGAAGCTCAACGGAAACTTTTTAAAGTAATAAAATTGATGGAATAAATCAGAGTGTTTCGATACTTTGGTTGAAATAAACGTTTCTGTGAGTCAGAGAGCTTAGACACGAAGAGACTACAGCACTGACTGAGGCTACAGCAAAAGCTAAAGTTAAAGACAAAAAGTTAGCTTACCAAAGTCCTTACGAAACTAATGTATAGCTCCAAATAATCAATAGAAGTGCTGTTGAAAGCTGTCAGTTGTGGATTCGACTGACTTCCAAAGAATGAAATGCAGATAGAATGAAACTCGAATTTTTATAGCATATGCCGCGAATGATAATATTTAGATTTGCTATTCGATCAAAGGGACCTAATGTGAATGGTAGGTAAAAAATTCCTGAATGGTCGAGTATCACGTTTTGAATTTCTGACTAAAGAAGGAGATCAGCTTCCTCATAGTGTTGCAACTTGAGAAACTAAATATAGAATGGCAAGATATGCAAATTATTTAAAAGTTAAAACGAGATTGTTTACATCTAGGGAAAAGTATATATCTATTTCCTTTCAGTCCACGTTATCCTCACTTTAAAATGGAACTAGAGCGCCTTCCTCAGTTCAGGTAATTTAAATGCACCACCCTGTTCTTTTTCTTAAACAGCAGGTGATGTTAGGTAAAAGCTTTGTCCCATTCTCTCCTATCTTCACGGGAATGTCATAAGAATGACATGAAATGGTTGTCGGACTAGAAAGAACACCCCAAAATCCGTTTGTCATTTTCACTCAAAATACATGTAAAAATTCGTAAAAATTAAAGTAGTCAATAAAAGAAGGAAGATTAGGTAGTAGCAAACCGAGTATTCAAGGCTGGAACCTCTACGTCATATGATTTATAATCCCACATCAGTTTCTGTTACACCGTCGAGGCCTCGAGGCTGAGCGTGTTAATAAATGCTAGGTAGCTAGCATAAGACTCGATATTAATAATGGCGCTTGGGGATTTTACGGGCGAGATTCAGGATTGAAAGCACGCATGAGATGCAGTGGGATTGAAGAGCTCCACTGGTGATCCTTTTAAAACCGAGGCAAATTGATGTGTCATAAGTCGTGCCAAGCAAATTCATATTTTTTCTTAGACATGGCGAAATAACTAAAATAACTAAGGTGTATATATACACCTAGGCGCTCAACCTTACTGGCCGTTTTTATAAATGCCGTCATGAGAGACTGTAAAGTCATCAAGGCGCATTAAACGTCTGAGACGTCAAAGTCGACTGGTGTAAATTCAACGGGACGTATAAAAGTAGAAGACAGCAGTGAAAAAAAAAAACGGATTTTTTCTTAAAAAAGACAAAACACTGACTCTGGCTTCTCCGTCATTTCTAGAAGAGTTGGGCATAAATGCGTCCCAGTTTACGGTGTCCCATTTTTGTAGCTGCTTCTCTTCTTAGAGGAGAAATAGCTTCTATGTCACGGAGTGTGTCAATCCCTAAGAGGTCCAATCTTCGGACTGTGTTCGGAACATTTATCAGTTTTATTTCGGATTATCGGTTTTATACGATCCCAAACTCGACGAAACTCTACCATGTCGACGATAGCCGAGGCTAATCTCGATGTTACCCGATCCATTTTTGTCCCCTCTCGTTAACGATCGACTACTTATCGATTGAAACCTTCCACCGACGTTGCTTTCTTTCCATGTGCGAGTGAAGACTTTCACGATTTCAGGTAAGAGGATTTGCTTACAATGTTTTGCTATTTTGCACCAGTAACCAGGCATAGCTTTCAAACAATGTACGTGCACGATGTTTTCTAGAAAAGACTTCTTTAGGTTGTTTGACGGTCGGCTCAGAATTTCTACCAGAAAACCCAACGTTGAACCGAGATGTTTGACTTCGTTGGGCGGCCATGATGGAGCGATTTGTGCAGCAAAACACCTCAAAT